GCATACGAGCAGACGGCTCACCTGATGGTAAGTGATCACCGTCGCCCATGGACACTTGCAACACCAGGAGTATCACAAATGCGATGCCGGCCTTTAAGGAAGGAGTACGCTCTTTTTTTGAAGGTTTTTGGGTCGTATCGGTCCGGAAACACTGCTGGCGACAACATATTCCACAGTTTTGTCATACGTGGTAAAAAATTTCGACAAAAACGCACGGTTGTGGATAGCCCCGCATCAAGATGATGGGGATGAAATTTTTGTCGCGATGTACGATGGCGAAATGCAGCAGCTGGAATTAATCCGAACAATTCCTCAGAACACTCCCCGTGATAAATGCGATAGAAGATGCAGAGCGAAGCTACATCCCTACGCAAAGCCAAAGGATCAAGCTGATCGGAAAGGTCCTGGTCGTCGACGATTCGAGCCGCTCGGCGCTGGATGCGATCCAAAGGGAGAAGCTGGTACTGGGGTGCCCCCGCCCAAAGATGAGAGCAGTACTCCATGTGAGGCCGAACCTGTGCCTTATAAAGCTGCAGTCGGTGGGCCGGTGTGAAGTACATTCTCGATCTATTGAGCACACCAAGCTTCTTAGAGGCCAATTTGGCCTTGCCCTCTAAATGATCCCGAAATTGGTCGTCGCTCGATATGTCAACGCCAATGATGGAAAAAATTTATTGATCAAATATTTCAAGTCTGACTCTTTGCTTTGGATGCTTTTACAACTCCATTGAATAATGTTCAGAGACATTTTTATTTAAGTTATTTAAAAGAGGTAAAATCTTAGAAGCAACGTTGGGCGGTTAGGGATAACATCACTATATTTGGACAAAATGTTAGCTACTAATAACCACAGCAGGTCCAAGTAGACATCATTCGGAGAATCATTTGAGGGGAGTGCAGAGTTGCCTTGTGTATTACCTAATGCACAACCATTAGGAAGGGTTGATGAAGGGCTACTTGTAATATTTTGGTAAGCTAATCTGTCATATGACCTGCCTAGGAGAGTCCTTGACCGTACTTGGCGATAGATAGTTTTTTTGTAGGAGGTAGGTTGTCGGCTTAATATGCTTGAGTTTTGTGAACCGGGTAATATTACCCGCCTATATCGCCCGCCCTACCTTCGTCTGCCTATATAGGCAGACGAAGGTAGGGCAGTTTTAGAGGGGTCAGCATAGGGGATCTTTTTACCTGTGGATCATCACACATCACATCCAAAGACTCCACAAGTTCTCCCATACTTAATTCTGTGGGAATTCCCTTAATCAGACCCATACAGGTAATGTAACCTGTATGGGGTATGGGTAGGTTGGAATCGTAACCACGTATTTATTCAGGGCTAAAAGGGGTTATTTAAGAATGTGTTGGCATCTTGATATAATAGGAATTCAACAGAGATGCGATTGCGTCAAATATTTTTAATACCGTCTATAAATATATTTCTAATTTAGTTTTTTGTCAAAAATCAGTCAAATATAAGAGGTCGAATAGAAGAACCAGCAGAGGGGGAGGCCTCATTAATTGATACATGTACAATAAAAGGTCTTTTATCCAAATTAGAGAACAATTTAGGTGCATCATTAAGACAGGGTATACAGAGTATGATTTGCTTCTTGTGATTGTTATGATTCTATAATGAGCGTCTTTCTAATATGTTCGGTCCCAGCTTCTGGGTCGAACGTCTTTTTTTTTTAATTTATTAAGGTAAACAAATAATGACACAATACATTTTAAATACTGTACATAATACATTATATGTATAATTGTGACACCAGCAACGTTTACCGCAAATTACAAAAAGAGATTGTAAACTAAAAATGGACCGACAAATATGTGAGAGATGCGATGTTAAGCTTGTAGCAGTTCAAGCAAAGCTTTTCTGTATGTATATTTGTTTTTTGTTGCCATATCCAAAGAATTAAATAAATTATTATACGTATTAGTCATACGATGGAACAGTGACCTTTTTCCAGCATTGGTTCGACAACGGGCAATAGCAAACAATTTACAGGTATTACGACAGTGAGTTCTGGTGGGTACCTTATATCTTAATCTATTCGTTAACGTAATACTATCGTAACGGTTGTGACATATGTCATACAATATTGTTGATTCTAAAAATGTACGCCTATTTTTCAAACTCATACATTTATGCTTACACAGGAGCTGCTCGTAAGACAATCTATTACGGTAACACTTGTAATTCTTGCAGCGCAAAAACTTCCTCTGTACTGCTTCTAAAGCATCTATGTATTTATTATAAAAAGGGTTCCAGATAGGCACAGCATATTCGAGTTGAGAGCGGATTAAAGACTTATATAAGTAAAGGTATGTGGAGTGGCGAGTAAAGTTAGTGCTAGATCGCATTACAAATCCATACATTCTGAAGGCCTTATTTATGATTTTATCAACGTGCTCGTCGAGGTGTAGTTGACTGTCCAGAGTAACGCCTAGGTCTTTTATAGATTGAACATGCTCCAATTGCACTCCCGATAACTTGTAACTAAACCTACTTTTGTTTTTTTTCTTTGTAAAAGTAATAGATTTACACTTATTCAAGCTAAGGAAAATATTGTTCTTAGTACAGTACTCAGAGAAACGATCAAGATCCTCCTGTATTTTGAGGTGGTCATCGATTTGTTCAATGGTATGATAAATCTTTAAATCATCTGCGTAAAGAAGAAAATCACAGATTTGAAACAACTACCAATATCGTTTATGAACATTATAAACAGAAGAGGACCCAAAATCGACCCTTGCGGTACTCCAGATGTAATTGGAATTAGGTCAGACTCATAACCACTCAGCACTACTTTCTGAGTACGATTTGTTATATTGGATTTAAATCAGCGCCATAAGTCACCACGTATTCCATTAAAGGCCAACTTTTCCAAAAGTATCTTGTGATCGACCCTATCAAAAGCTTTTCGGATATCAGTGTAAACACTATCTACCTGCTTATTACCATCTAAACTGTCAAATAAATATGATACATATTGCAAAAGATTTGTAACTGTAGATCGTTTTTTAACAAAGCCGTGTTGATTATCTATTATATTATTATGCAAAGAGGGATAAATGGCGTTATGGACTAACCTTTCAAAAATTTTTGCTATCACTGGGAGTATAGAGATAGGACGGTAACATTCAACATCAGACTTATCACCAGCTTTAAAAACAGGAATGATACGAGCAGTTTTAAATATCAGAGGTACGATACCATCCTTTAGGCTCTTATTAAAAAGTAACATTAATGGCCTATGTACAGTAGAGGCAGTCAATTTAAGGAAAACTGGTGGTATATTGTCAACTCCTGGTCCTTTTGTCGTATTTAATTCTTTCAATACTTTACTAACAGAATCTTCCGAGAATTGCAGGGTACTCAATATAAGATCAGATTTATCGTTGCACTTAGGGATGTTATCAATATCAAAGTTATCTGGTACATTGGAAGCATCAAATACCGACTTAAAAAAGGTGGAGAAAAGACGGCATATCTCCTTTGACTCGTTAGCGGTAACGCCGCTGTATGATACAATTGTGGGAATCTCTGACTTTCCTTTATTATTGTTAAGAAATATCCAGAAATATTTTGTGTTTTTACTGATACTATCCTCAACTAATGTTAAATACTCCTTATAGCACTTCTGAGATGCATGTTTAAAGCGTTTTCTGAATAAGGAAAAGTTTTCGTAATCGGAGATGTTTCCATATTTTTTCCATTTTAACCAGTAGTTTTTTTTTTATTTTTGTATATATGTATCAATGCCCGAGTGAACCATCGTGGATATTGTGATGATTTAACAATTCTAGTAGGTATGTGTTTTCTGATAAGTGCATATATATGATCGTAAAATATAGAAGTCGCTGTCTCAACTGTTTTGTTAAGGAATAGTCTCTCCCAGTCTATATCGGAGATATCCTTATTTATTAATTTATAGTCTCCTTTGTCATATTGAAATTGCGTCCTAGGCAAAGCTTTGATACACGAAAAATTGTACTTTGTGGGAAAAAGTATATAAAATGGTGGGTGATGTTTATCAGCAGGCACTAGAGCTATTGGAGTTTCATCAAAATGTGTGCCCGAAATATTTGAAATAATTAAATCTAGTATTCTGTTCTTAGCATTTTTACATTTATTCAATTGAAATGAGTTTAAAATCGACATAAAATTTATCAAAGCTTTTTCAGATTGCGTATACCTACTTTGAATAACAGGTAATAAGTGATCGTCACGTTCCTGCCATTCCAAATTCGGCAGATTATAATTTACCGCTATAATATAATTGCTGGCTTTCGTAAACTGTATTACATAGGTTAAATAATCAAAATGTAAGTTATAATAGCTTGGGTTCGTGTTGGGAGGGATATAAGCAGCACTGATCATCCAATAGCAGTCACAAGACTTCAATTCAAGTAGAACATGATCAATAAGTGGTGAGCCAAAGGCGGGTGCACCGACAGGCGGCGTCAGCAGTGTTACGCCGAGCTCGCGCCGCACCGCCACCAACACACCGCCGCGCCGCCGTCACGCCGCCCACTCGTTATACGATCCCTATCGCTCCTAAATACCTGATAACGCTCATCCACCAGTTGATTTTTATGTATTTCTTCATGCAACCACGTCTCCGTCAAAATAATGATGTCGTAATTATGTGCCAAAATGTTCATATAAAGTCTTTTAGTGCCTGTTTGCGTGAACAATGGGGGAGACCGATCCATCGGAATCGGAGATAGCTCCTCACCCGGAGGATCTGGTGGGTCGGGGGGTACCCTATCCATCACTCATGACGCAAGTGATGGAAAGGGTAGGAAAAAGAAGATATTGTGTTACTTACCAATAAAAACAACACAAGGATACACTTACTACCACCACCACCACTACGTAAGATAAAATGGCTTATACTGTGGAGAAAGCACCACTAAAATGCCGAAAGTGTCAAAATCCCATACACACGTGTATCAACCAACACTCGCGAGAACGGCATCGTTTGCATAATTACCGCCAACTGTTGTAGTAGCACATCAATGCCGTCAAGTTCTCCTAACAGCTTTCTGTTCTCCGGTGTATTTTGTAGCAAAATAGACAGAATTTCTGTTGAATATAGTTTATTACCATCAAAAGGTATCTTCAACTGAAACATATAAAAATATACATATAAGGTATTACACAGGTTTTAATATAAAAGTATAAGTTAATTTGTAATCCAAGCTCATACCTTCAGTCTCTTAAGTAACCATTGCATGAAACCTTGTTTTGCTACTTCTGGACACATTTCAGGCCTAAATTCTGTAATGTTCTCTATTATACCTGAAATATTTATTTACTTGTTGAAGACCACAAACAGACATAATGATACATAGCTAATTCTGATATGTTGTATGGGTTTGGCTAATTGGTTGGCAATATAATAAGCTGTTAATGCTACTGTACATTAATGATATAAAATTGTTTGTATGCTGATCACATACTTTTCAAAAGTGCATTATAAATATTTTGAACATAATTATGACATTATTTTTATTGTAACAACCTAATGTATTGTGGACAGCATCCCTTTCATCTGGTACTTGTTCATCAAGACGGGCCAGGTTGTGGAGCAGAAGAGCAGGACACTCTGCTTCAGCCAAAGCATTGATTAACTCCTCAGCCCCTTCCTCACTCTCATTTAAAATATCCACATCAGTTAATTCCTACAAAAAATAATGTATTAAAAACCTAGGAAAAGATGAAAATTCTTATATTTAAGTGTAAGTAAGATTAGTACAGCTAAAATCACTTATGCAGACTATGATTGAGACTTTAATATACTAACTAAAACTTAGTAGAAATATGATAAACAAAATACACTATAACAATGAGGAAAGCCGGTTCTTCAGCATGTGTTTTGCCTTACATAATCAACAAAAACATAACAATATTCAACAAAACCTTCTACTCAAAACCTTGTTTCACTACACATGTTTCTTTGCATCAACAAAGTTTTTGCTTACCGAGGTTGATGGATTACACATACACAAATCACACCCGGGCGGGTTGAGGGGCAGAGTATTGTTTCATGACCCATGTTTTTAACAATTTGATAGCATGGGCTGCGTTCCAAACCTATGCTTCAAATGCAACTTTTCACTCAGAAGTTTCAATTTTGACATAAATGTATGAAACTTTTGTCAAATTTGACATTTGTTGCAATTGGATCGTAGGTTTAGAATGTAGCCCTGTGAGCAGTAGACAGCGTGTGTAGAGGAACATGATTCAGAAACAAGTTTTATGTATGTGTTTTTGTTGAATGTTTTAAAAATCTTACGCCATGTCCTGGCTTTAGCATAACACAAAACATAATTTACTTTATATTTTAGGCTAGGATGCAGCCAGTAGGGCTCCCGGGTAGTGGGTTCGGAAATAGATGATTGGCTTAGTACCAAATTATCTTTATATTGTGCCCAAATACAGTTCACAACATAGGGGGTTACTGGCCAGGGAACATTAGTCTCCAGACAGGTCGAAGGTCCAACTCCTTCGAAGATTCTAATGGCAGCAAGAAACGTCTGTAGTCAATCCCAACGGCCAACGGGTCAAAATACAAATAAGGTATAGGACAGACTAGCGTCACAATGTTTATGTTCAGCTTTTTAGAGAGAAGAGAACATCATTACAACTGCTATTAATCCCAGACAGTATTTAAACTCACCCTTAGGTAACTATAATCACAGCTTTAAGTTACGAACCTGAATCTGTGCGCAATGGTTGCACGTCCGTTCTAAATGATTTTGTGAAGACTAAATAAAAGCTTCGGCTGCAGACCAGCTGTCCAACAGTATTATTTTTATATGCTAAGCCCGCCTATTATTACCTAAACAAACTCCTGTTATCAATGCGCTTTCGCTTTTCAAATTGTGCGCATGGTTAAAACTGGGATGTATTTGAATTCCTCACTATTTTTTTATTAATGTCTAAGAATAAGATATAGGTTTAAGATTTCGCCTTTGCCATAGTTTATGGTAAAAATATTAAAATATATAGTTTATAACTTATTAATATTACAACCTATTTTCACTTACAACATTACAAGGGCATTGATGAAATAGTAAGCTCACCTGAAGGAGATGTACAACTTTAGTGGATATATCTGTATTATCATGTGACAGAAGTTCCAACAATGAATTAATGCATTTCAAATCAACTAAAAGTGGATATTGATCAGGGACTGTTGCCACTGCACTTAGTTCCTAAAAGAGACAAAATTTGCTTTTATTTATTATTTATTCACAATCCATCATTAATAACAAAATATTGACGAAAAAATTTTTTACCTGCAGAGCTTCGTGCAAATCTATTTCACTGTCCATAAACTTTTCAGGCTGATCTGGAAACTTAATTCTCATTTCCCTATTTTTAAGGGTTTTCTTTTCAAAGTTTAGAACTAACTTTTTTACTGTGATGTCATCAAGAACTTCACCCTAAAAAATATTAAGATTGATAGTTTGCATATTTTACAACAAGTAATTACAACTAATAGAACTTCTAATGATAAAAAAATACCTCTGTAACTTCAGTTTCTACAAATCTTAAAATATCTTCTCTTTCCTTATCAGTGATTGTTGGTTCTTTAGGCAGACTTTTGCTATACTGTTGTAACAGTTGATCATGTTTGGTGTTACCAAATCGCCGAATCTTACTCGCCCTTGATGGTTCATCGTCAGAATCTCCACTGTCGTCTTCATTTGGTCTTTTGGGTGTAGGGGTTGGCTGGCAAAAAGTAGAACAACAAGTTTTATTAATAAATTAAACAACACATTACTATTGTTAATAACACTAGCACATTTGTTTACCTTAAAAGAAAGTAGCTCTCCGACATCCATTCTTTACAACTTAGGATTAAAGTAATGTTTTGGATTTATTTTGCAATATTAATATCCACAACACAATTGTTTTAATATCGGCATTATTCTATAAAATCAACAAGAAAACGAGAGGAGAAACGAAACATGAGCAAAACATGCATGAGTTAGCTAGCTGTCAACACAGGCTGTCAAAGTCATAGAGTACAATATAATGCCGAACGGATCGCGGATTCGATTCCCGTACGGCACAGATATTTTGTATGGCCGGATGGAGCGATTGATTGTCATATGATTAGAAAGATACAATCAATCAAATAATTATGAAATAGACATTTAGAACTTGTGAACTAAATGTGTGCATGCAAATATGATCCTTAAGGTGGTAAACATTTTCTGACTGCGACTGTACCTTAAAGAAGATTTTTAATTCACCTCATCAATTAAAAGGAATTCTCATTGTTCGGATGCCGTTATTGTTCTTTAAATAAAAAAATGTGTGCGTGTACTAGTGTACACACGTAAGAAGTGAAACTTCTTTATGGCCTTATTTTTCGAAAAATGATCTACATGCAACTTTCCAGAGATTGGTTAAATAAAGTTAAATTAGATAAAGTTTAAACAAAAGGATTTTATTATCATAGACATGAATACAAATTACTGCCTATGAAACTGTTATGATTACACGGCTCAGTAATCTAAGGCACATGTTCCACCTCCGACGATGAACGATAAGCGAGTAGAAACTAAAAACGAATTGGCAGTCCTGAGTTAAAATGCACGCGCACGGCTTTTGACAGCCAAGCCAGCTTAACCGAGCGAGTATAGCTGAGCGAGTATCGCTGAGCTAGTATCGCTGAGCGAGTATCGCTGAGCGAGAATCGCTGAGCGAGTATCGCTGGGCGAGTATCGCTGAGCGAGTATCGCTGAGCGAGTATCGCTGAGCGAATATCGCTGAGCGAGTATCGCTATGCGAGTTTGGCTGAGCGAGTCTTATCTTTAATAACTATTGTCACTCAGCTACAAACGAGTAGAGAGAGTTCTCGCCGGCGACAGTGTGATCATTCAGCTATCAACTATTAATATAAAAAAAGATGGCGCGTAACGGAAAAATGTGACGCGTAACCGAAAAATGTGACGGTAATTTTTTTTCCAACGCCGATAAAGAAGTTTCACTTCAAAAAGAATTACTACTATTTTTAATATTTCGTCGATTTATGACGTCAGTGCACTGGACAGTATATTTCGAAACAATTCACCACCATAGCGTCGATTCATGACGTCATTAGTACTGGCCAGTATACTGGTATATATTACGGAATACACCTTAAATAATTTGTGATTTGCACTGTTCGTAACGTTAGCAGTGTTTTCGCAATTCGGACCGCATATATTTAAGAATATGCAAAAATAGAAAATGAAGGTAAATAAAACATAACAGCTATGGTCCCGATTCTGGCGTGATTCCCTAAACTTAAAACTAAATTTAACATCAGTCTTTCCTTTTCATTCTGTATAGAGAATGACAAGGATGCACTGTTGTCAAATTTAAGTTTAGGTTTAGAGAATCGTGCCAGAATCGACACCACTGTCAGATAAATAAATTCCTTGTGGTCCGTCCCTAACATGTTCTTCAGAGAATAAGGAGAAGAGTAAGTTTAAGTTTAGAGAATCATGCCAGAATTTGGCCTAACGATGTCAGATCGTTTTGATCTATGAGGGTTATGGCAATCAGGTCCCAACAAGGAATTTCGTACCAAACATTGAAATGCGGTCATCCTAGCATTCGCATGTTAAGAAAACGAAAAAATAAAACTCCTTAACATAAAGCTGTATAGACTGCATATCCTTTACATTCCTGCAACAGGAGACTTTTGTCAAAAAACGATTCGCGTTCGCGCTATTTTGTTGGTGGCAATAAGTCAAACGACAGCGGCAATTTTAAAAATAACATTGTGAATAACTTTGTGCTCCTGCAAAAATATGATTGAAAACTATTCCATTGCAAGACAATACTGAAAAGTTTGGAAAATATGGTATGCACATATTCTAATTGACTTAATTTCTATCACTAATAAAATGAGCGTATTGACCAGTTTTTTGTTTTTATATATTGCTAATTCAAAGCAATCTGTTACAAAACAAGATTTACAGAAACTATTAGAGATATTAACTTATACAGACGACTCGGATACTCAAGTGAAAATATTTTCGATTCTGGCGGTCACTCTGATTTCAAACGTGAGTAGTATGTTCTTATTCACTAATATTTGAAGTAGATTCTTTTTTCTTTTAATTAAATAGTTACCAAATAAATAACTACTTATTCATTGGTGTCGGCTTATGGTGTCAACTTATAAATTTTATTTTACATAAGTTAGCAAACACTTAGACCGACAAATTGGAACAACAGGACATTGGGAAGAAACGTCTCCACCCCCCAACAGATTTGAAACAAGTGTCATTCGAAGCGTCTAGCTAGTAGGATAGATAATTTCTTACTCTTCTTACTATGCTAGAAGTGCCCTGCAGTTCCACCCGCATTAATTCGAGGATTATAGTGGGTCACCCTCACAAGATAGACATAATTATGCTGTTTTTTATAATACTTTTAAAGTAGAACAATTCCGTCAAACAGGATTTTTGTGTAACTTTTACCGTTTAGGTAGGCGCACGCAACGGAAGCTCTCAAATGGAATATTGTTTCCCGTATTCGCAACATTTTTCATTATTGCTGCGCTCCTTTTGGTCGTATCTTTATGTTATAAAGCTTATAAACTTTCACGATTTTACGTAAAATGAATCAGATAGAACCTGAAAAAGCCAAAAGCAAAGCCAACCCAAGCAGTAAATGATCAATAATCATGGCACCGACTTCAAACTATTTTTGATTAAATGTAAGTAAAGAATATGCATTATTTCTTCTTGTAACTGGTTTTGTTTTTATGAAGTTCTTATATTTGTTAAAAGTATTTATTTTACTGTTTTTATAAGCGAGAGCAAGATCAACTTACTAACATGGTACATGGCCTGCATTATCTCTTTCATATTTCTTAACATAACCAAACACGAATTGAGTACTGCTTGTAACTGAGGAGTCCATTATTTTCTCCGAAAGTACTGATTAGATGCTCACCAAATTAATAAGGGCTCATTTTGCACAAAAAACTGATTCAAACAAAAAAAGGAATCATCAAAATCTGTCCACACATCTCGGAGATATGCGCGAACAACAATAAAAAAAACCGGCCAAGTACGAGTCGGACTCGCGCACCCAGGGTTCCGTACAAACCTGAATTTCCAAAAATTTATTTATTATATGATGTAACTAAAAATTTACGGTATTCGCAATTTTTCCTTTATCTGTACGATACGTAAGACGTTGCTTCTTACCCTAAGTTCACGGGAAGTACCCTGTAGGTTTTGATTCCCGTGAGAGTTTCGAAAATTTGCGGCATAAACGGCTGCATCTTTTGATTGCTTTGGCTTTTTTTTTGATTTTTTCAGCTCCAAAGGACAGTACACCTGAGTATTAGATATGAATTTCAGTTTGATACCTCCACGCGTTCCTGAGAAAAACGGTCTTAATTATAGATGTAAAACAACCGATTTAAAACGTTTTAAACCAAATGTTGCAGTTTTAAACCCCAAATAAATCGTTTTAAACGGTTGAAAACTGGCATACAAAAATAAAAGATCTATGATTTTTACACTTCATTATGGTTTATATACCCCTATGATAAAGATACAAAAACTACATGCGAACGTACCTACAATCAGGGGGTCACTTTTAAAAGCACATTTTGACATATACAACAAGATACATAGAGATGTTAACTGTTAAAATGGGCTTGTGACGTGACTGTACATGATGTAGTTATTGTCAGCAGACTCCATCCATGCCCCAACCTACCCCCTGTTGTATTCGCGCCTGAGAAGCGTGGCGTACCGTTTTTACCTTTTGAGGTACGGAACCCTAAAAACATGTAATGATGAATTAAGAACCTTCTCCTTTTTGAAGTCGGTTAAATACGAACATAAAGGGGAACATTGAATTTGTAAGTGAATATTTTATAGTTCGGAACCTTTTTTTAAGATTAATATATTTTTGTATAGAAATAAACACATTATTGCCGAAAAGTTTTTTATACATTACTAGCTGACCCAGCAAACTTCGTACCGCCCTAAAAAAATAGGGGTTGTCCAGCGGACAAAATTGTGAATCTAAACCATTCTCAGATCCCCTTGAACACACACAAAAAATTTCATCAAAATCGGTCCAGTCGTTTAAGAGAAATTCAGTGACATACACACTCACAGAAGAATTATATATATAAAGATAATACAATAAACCCCATCGATTTCCCAACTAAAACAAGTGTTTTGTCTCTTTTTGAGTACGAATGAACAATTCCACACGCATTCCGTGTCTGTTGCAGGGTGGGGACGGGGTCCATACAAAATCTCCCATGGTCCTTTAAGGTCATTGGTGGTGCAACCATGCCTGAACGCCACCGTTACTCGTTACAGCTGCCGCAACCAACGTCAGACCTCGTCAATTGTATTCATCCGCTTGCATGATGTTTGTAAACTCATCATGAAGCACCGCCAAAATATTTAATTACTACTTATTTTTGGAAGAATTTTAAACGTACTTTGTATTAGTCAATTAAGGGGCAATTTGTTGGGATAGGAGGAATCTTTAGTAAATTACATAAATTGGATAACTTGTCTGATCTTAGCTAGTGTCCTATGCTAGCTGGTAATGAAACAATAATTTTGTGAGTATGTGATTAGTTAAACATTTTCCCGGTACAGTATGTTGACCAAACTATGATGCTATGGCTGTGGCAGTGATGTTTATGGAATAAAATGTGAAACTGTGCACTTTATTAAACATGACATCTTTTACAGAATGACTTCAGTGATATCATTATTACTCATTATGTTATCTACAAGATAATACGCGCGGTATTAATTCAACATATACCATCTAAAACAGCCATCACGTTGAATTTTATATCGTCCATGCTTTATATCGAAGAAGAAGAAGGGCTGACTAGAAAAAAAAGCTTGGTTTTGTACGCCCAGAACATGATTAGAACAAGCGGTTGTTTACTGGCAATGTGTAATATTTTTACAAGTCCTATGATGGTATGTATGGTAACTAACTTACTACCA